ATATTTATTTCTTATTTTTAGTTATTTTTATTTATTTTATTTTTCTTTAAATAAAAGATCTTTCACTTGACACTCATCACTTTAAAATTTGCTACAACTTGATAGTTTTTAGTAAATTTTATTACAATACTTACTTTTTTTTAAAAAAAAACTTTGAATCATATATATATTTATATTTGGCATCAAATTGATTTATTATATAATCATTTGGCTAGGAATATTGAACCAAATTCTTTTATAAATAAGTTGCATCTATAGCATCTACATCATTATTATTTTTGTTAAAAAGAAAAAAAAAAACTATTGCTATAATATAAAATTAAAAAAAAAAAAAAAAAAAAACTAAAAAACATATTAATTCTAATTTAAATTGTTTTTGCTAATATTTTGACTAAAACTATGTTTCTTTTTACTAATTGCTCAAACCTTTTGTGCTATAATAACATGCAAATTATTTTCTTTATTCTTTGATTTTTTTGCATCAGATTCTATTTTTTTACAATTTACTAATTATACTTGCATATAGATTTTGACATAACTTTTTATCATACAAATAGATCTGCATCATAATTTATATTATAAAGAAAGGATGCTAATATCAGAATAGATCTAGTTTTTGCTAAATTGTATCTCTTAGCAAAATTTTTAAGAATAGCTCTAAGATGTGAGCTACAAGTTTTATAATTATTTTTGACTGTTCTAAGAAATTTTTAATAAATTCAAAATTATACTTTTATTAAATACAAAAAAAAAATTTAGATAATTTAAAGATTAATAATATTTATATTTATAGTGCATTATTTAAATTATAATAATTATGCTTAAGAAATATATGTAATGCTCAAAAAAAACTTCCTTATAATAAATAAATGCTATATACTTACACTTCTGTTGCTACAATTTGAATTGTATTTATATCAGATGCAATCTTATTCAAATTTATATTAGTTGCTAAAATATGATTTGTATTTATGTCAGGTACAATCTTATTTATGTTTATATCAATTGCTGAAATTTGATCTATACTACTATTACTTGTAGCAACTATTTGGATATTATTTGATTGTCTATGTTAATAATTATTTATGTGTATATGTAATGAGATGTAAAAAGAATTATTTACAATTATTTCTTATAATAATTATTTAGAATTTTTTAAGAACTTAAAACAATTAAACAATCTACTTATTATATAAAATATATACAAACCAAGCATGATTATTAGGCATTAAAGACAGAAAAAAATTTAGAGACTTAACATAATATTTAATAGTCATTGCATTCTAACTTTACATGGTGCTTTAGATAGCTTAACAAAACATGTATATTATCATAAAGTTTGTTAAAATACTTACTAAATACTTATCAAGTAGTATAAAAATATTTAGCAATTACTTATTAAATATAAGATATATTGAAATTATAATTATAAATATTAATTTTAAATATTTATAAAATCTTTAAAAATTAAATATTTAATAAATATAAAATTTAATACTTAATAAGCAACACAAATTGTTAACTCTTTCTGATAATCAATTGTACCAACATTTTACTAAAGAAAATTTTAAATTTCTTTAGCAAATTATAATTAAATACACTTTTAAAACTAAATAAAATTGTTTTTTTCTCAAAGTTACATATATTTGTAAAATTTTATATCAATAGCTTAAATATTAAATAAATTAACTAATTTCCTATAAAAATAACTTCAAACTACTTATACTCAAATTTAGCCTATGAAACTTGTCTTGTTCACTAAGACAAAGTTGTTCAGCTTACTTTAGGCTTTATTTTGATATAAGTTTTATCTAAAACAGCCAAAAATTGACTATTTTATAAGCAAAAAACTCTAAACAACTACTTTCTCTAAATTTTTTAAAAAAATCAGTTCTTTTCTCCTTATCTCTTTCAAATTTGAACCTCAAACATGTTTTAAAACACCTAATTTCACTGGTTCAATCAATTAATAATTATTTTACAATTATTTTCCTTTTAAGATTTTAATTAATTAACATAAAACAAATAATTACAAATTTGTATTTATTCTAAAAATACACAATATTGTGTATACTTTATTATATTTTTAGCAAAAGTTATACAAGCCACATATTGCACTACAAGCCACACCAGCTTCAGTCACATCAGTTACAGCTACACCAGCTACAAAAAAGTATTACAAAAAGTATAATATTATACAACCAAATTTTTACTTTTCTTTAAAGCTGTCATCAAGTTTTTTAACAATAACACAAAAATAACAAACCAAAATGCCTACTTTAACAACTACTAAACCTAATTTTCATGATCTAGACTATTATTACAACAAATATCCAGATTGATTTGGTATTGGTACCAAAGAATCGGACCCACTTACTCTACACATTCTGCCAAAAAACGTTAATTTTTTGAAATATGAAGCTAATAAACAACAACACTACTTTAAAATACCAACTCAATCTACTTTATCTATTTGTTTTTGTAGCAAATTTCACACAAATTTTACTTCTAAATACTATAAAATTACTTATACCATACCTCTTTGACAAATTTCAACCTCTAATGCAATGGATATTTCTCCAACTATTATTATTTCCAAAAACTGTTTTAACAATATTGTTGACCAATTATCTAAATCACCTATTACTAAACAATACCAAAATCTTTAATCAAACTCACAAATTTTATCTTTTTTATTTCATACAGACAAATCATCAGTAGCAATCATTTTTCATTTACAACACTATCACTCTTGCACCTTATATAAAAAAAAAGAATATTCTATATGTTTTTATTTAAGAATTATGACATGCATCTAACTATTTCAAAGCTATAATCTTTAAGAGTTGCCTATTTCATCAAGATTGTGTTCACAATTTTCAATATGCTAAACTTAAAATCCTTTCTCAAAAAAAGAAACTTACAAAAGAACAACACTCTATCT